TTTTAATTTTTTTCTCTACTTAATTATTGTTTTTACATTTATAATTAGTCTATTATCACATGAGTATAAAAGGGCATGCCCATAGGGCATGCCTTCAACCCAGGGCATGCCTAATTTTTAAAGCATGCCCCAAACCCTATACGTATGAGTTTGTCGGATATGTCTAAAAAACTTGAAACTCACAAATTAGTATATGGCGCAGTAACGTGGTATGGCGCGCATAAGGAATTAGCCAATCGGAAAACGTACCGGATTAGCCGTGTACAACAAAAAGAGGAAAAGGCGAAAAATATGAAAACTGATGTTTAAATCGACATTAGAAAAACTTAATTTTGCACATACTTTAACTGTTAAGTTTATAGCCACGAACTCTAACAAGAAAACCTAATATAGAGGTTAAAAAAATCTATCCGGATGAATTGCATCACATGACTGAAAGGCGTCTAGACCCCGGTAAAGGCATCATACACTGTGTTTGTTATACCTGATACAGCATTTGTTTATACGCAACACTGTTCAAAAAAAGAATGATCGTCGATTCGTACATAATAATTGACTGATATTTTACAACGATAAATCGAAAAACTGATGAGTATTACCTTTTAAATACGTAACTATTGTAATTATTTGTGGCAATTTTGCAGATAGAATCCTCATTATTCGTGGCTTGTGCTTTAAGTCGAAATAAAAGGCGATTGACCGCCGGAGTTTTTAAAAAATTCTTTTCCTGTTGGAGAAGTGCCACAAATACTCTATTTTTTATATGTATGTTTTGATTATTACGTCCTCGAAATTTATTATTTTTGTGTATATAATAATAAATTTTTTTATTTAAAGTGTATTTCTTAGGTAATCATTAATTTAAAAGAATAATAATGAATATAAAGTTATATTCAATAAAGCAAACATAAATACATTTATTACTTTGTTAGATCAAAAGCCAGTGATTTTTTTTCAAGATTATGTCTTTTATGTGGCGCCCAGAACAAGTTAGCCCTATGGAAATTGACAAAATTGTTAATGATGATATTGGTGTTTTTGATGCTTTTGATACCCAAGAAAGCTTCGCAAGGATGGACCAAGTTCTTGGTGTTATCGCTGTGGTTGGACAAGCTTCGAGACATTTTGACCCATTAGTAACTAATATTATAGAATTAACTAAAAGTACCCTCGATATATATGAAAATGTGCAATTTAATAAGAAAATTTGTGATTGTTTAATTGATCGGGTTGAATCTGTTGAGATGGCTATTAAGTCATTAAAACGGCATAAAGAAGAAAACGCCAGGTATTTCTTTATTCAAACCACCTATAATACATTTCACCAACTTATCGTTGTTCTCGAAAAGATGCAGCAATATATAACGGATGTATCACAACTTCATGGATTGCGAAAGTTTACGAATATAATGGATATAAAAAAACAATTTGAAAAATTAACTGTAGAGTTTGATATGATAGTTAGCGCTTTACAACTTAAAATGGCTTTTTCTGAAAAAGAACAATCAATAAGAGATAAAGTTGCGATAGAAGATGACATTAATACAACGACGAAGGTATCTTAATTTATTTTCTATCTATCTATCTCTATATATATATATATATATATATATAGTCATTAATATATATATATATTTTTCTTTTATATAATATGTTTATTATTGTATAGTTTTTGAACAATGTAAAAAGTGGAATAACTGAGATGACTCGGGATATTGCACAAGATGATACCACACCTTTAAAACCACAAATTAGTGATATTTTTGATGAAATAATAATAAAAAAAAATTTTGTCACTGAGACCAATAAGACAACTAAATTCAAAGCGAAAATTATACCATCTGACAAAATAATAAATCCTGATGCACCAAGTAGAGGAAATGTTCACAGGATGCTATATGAGGATAAAGTTGTTGCATGTAAATACTTTGATAACGATCAAAATGCAAGGTTTCACAACGAATTATCGATGCTTTATAATCTGAATCATTCTGAAAATATTCTCAGATTTTACGGACTTTCTGAATTAGATGAGGGTCAAAGTCAAGTCTTGGTTTTTGATTGGGCTGGCAAAGGTGATTTACAGACCTTATATGAAAGTTATGATCTTGATTGGCCTGTCAGACTACAGATTGCTGTTGGTATTTGTCGCGGATTGCTATTCTTACACGGATGTCAAATACTTCATCGAGAACTTCGATGTCAAAATGTTGTGGTACGTATATGTGTTAATTTTAGATGTATTTTACACTACATTAATGTATTATATTGGATTTGACTAAATAGATAACTGAAGATTTTCAACCAAAACTTGTAAATTTCAATTTCGGTCGACCAGCAAAGTATAGTAGATATTTTGTTGAAAATATAACAGCTGTTGTGCATTGGCTGGCTCCAGAAAAGTTGCGTTTAGGGAATAAAGTGAAATTTTCACATAAGTGTGATATCTTCAGGTATTATTTCATATTTAGAAAAGTATGTATGATTATTCACTAATCTTGCCTTAAGTTTACTAATTATATTGTATTTATTAGCTTTGGTATGCTTTTATGGGAGATTGCTTTTGAGAGAATTCCATACAAAGATTGGAGTTACACGAGCATCATTGATCATGTGAAAGCTGGCAAGAGAGAAAGCATGGATATAGGCTCTAATCCAATTCAACGAGATTTCACAAAAATAATTAGAGCAGGTAAATTTTCTTAGAGATTATCCTATTTATTTAAATAAAAACTAATTTGAGTTTTATAATTTTTTCATCTAACAATAGCATGGCAAGATGATCCTACTCTTCGTCCAGGATTACATGAATTATTTATTCAATTGGACAAACTACATAAAGATAATCCTGTCGAATTGGCTCAACCAATGAAGAAAAATCATATCGAAATGGAAAGCACAGATGCCCAGTCTGAAATAATTGTGGTTGAGGAAAACAATGTGCAGGACAAAGATTTAGAACTTAAATTTTTGGGTATTGTTCGTTCTATTTTGTTACTCGAAGAAGGCATTAAATCACATAAATCTGGAGAAAAAAAAGTAGCATGGGAGTGTTTTCAAGCACATGCAGATTTGGGAAACAACTACGCAAAATATTGGCAAGCACATTACTTGACAGAAGGATATTATGTGGATAAAGATACAAAAAAAGGGACAAAATATTTTAAAGAAGCCGCGGATGCTGATGTAGCGGATTCACAACTTCGTTATGCGTTCTCACTTTATCATGATCAAATCATTCAAGACACTGATGCGTTTTTACACTATTTAACATTAGCGGCAGAAAACGGAAATGCTACGGCACAATTTAATTTGGGTAGAATGTATTATGCTGGTATGGTTGGATTAAATAAAGACAAAGAGAAAGGATTACAGTATCTAAAAATGGCAGCTTTGAAAAATCAACCAAGAGCTATTCAATTTTTGACTAGTGTGAAAATAGATAGATATGTTTGATTGCCCTGGTGTTCTAAGCAGGTTAAATTTGGTCAGATTTTTCATATTTGCGAATAGTATAGATGCTATTTCTTTTAATAAAAATTATTGTACTTAATACTATTATGTGAATAAATTTTGGGCCAAAAAATCGGTTATTTTAATGTATTAATAGAATTTGTCGAGTTATATTTAAACAATTTATTCGAGTACTTACAGCATAAGTTTTAGTGAATAAAAAAAATATGTTATTTTTTAATTTGTAAAGTATTATGGTTAACTAATTTGTGTTTGTAATTGTTTTAAATAAAAAATAAAAAAATAATTATTAAAATAAAAAATTTAATAAATATTAAGATTTTAACTTTATTATACAGTGTAGAGGTCTGATCCGATGAATAGTATATTCGAATATTCACTGAATATTCGAATACTCGAATAAGATTTTTTTCACCAAATTGAATATTCGAATATTTAATTTATTCACCTTATAATTAAAAATTATCTAATTAATTAAATATAAAATTATTTATTAATAGGTATAAAATTTTTATAAATTAAAATATAAACCTATAATATTTCTTAATATATTTGTTTTTAATAATT